TTCTCTGTGTCCCTGGCACCGAGCCAGCGAGTGGCGAAGCTCAGGTTTCATCCCAGGGATGTCTGATTCCAAAGTTCATTCCCTTTTGCCTCTGCCATTCCACGTTGGTACCACGTAGCCTGGTGGCAAGAGGCCACCCTGAGTGTGAACTTTATTCTGTTGATAATTAAAGGGTTTTGTGGTAGGAAAAGAGGCATCATTCAGTTTTTGTTTTAGAAAGACAATTCTTAAGAGCTTTACGTGAAAATTATCTGTTAGTAGCAATAACAGTAGATAAAAATACTGAGAAAGGTGCTTTCCTGGATTGACTCTAATAATTTTAGTAGTTTTGTTAAAATATATATATTTTTGGACCCTGGCTGGTGTGACTCAGTTGGTTGGGCATCGCCCCATGTGCCGAAAGGTTGCTGGTTCAATTCCGGGTCAGGGCACATACCGGGGTTGCAGGTTCGATCCCCGGTAGGGGGTGTGCAGGAGGCAGCCGATCGATGTTTCCCTCTCACGCTAATGTTTCTCTCTCCCCACCCCTCTTTCTCTTTTCTCTAAATATCAATTTTTAAAAATCTAAAATATATATATATATATATATATATTTGAAATCATGTCTGAAATGTCAGCCTCTCTGGGAGCCCCAGAGAACAGTGTAATTTTTTTCTCTCTCTCATTCCGTTTTTTAAAAATAGGCATGTTAGTGAATTCTGGGATTGGTTCCCACCACTGAACAAAGGGGAGACGGGGGGAGAGGAGGAGCAGTTGGGCAATGTTTGCCTATGGAAAGTCAACCTGCCCTTCACACTGCTTTTCCATGTTTCCCGCGGTTGCATTTCTCTGCTGTGCAGCACCGCAGGCCTCGTGTGAAATCCCGTTCAGATTGATAGGTGATAAGTGGTTTTAAATAAACACCTATGGGTGTTCCGGCCGAGCTCTAGAACCACTGGCCGACTGAGACACACAGGGCGGGGCACGGGTGGGCTTACAGTGGCGAGTGCTGGAAGCACAGATCTGTTCTTGTATTATTTATTAATGGTATTATTTCCCACACGAACAACTGTAAACTTACTTTTGCCCCACCCTTGTGTCGGGAAGATGATTGGACACTGTCTTAGGCGCCTGGGGCCTACGCGGTAACCAGCCGACCTTCAGGAAGCAATGCCACGGTCACCTCTCCGCTCTCTTGGGGCCATCATTTTATGCCACAGCAGAAACGTTAGAAGTGCGAGAATTGAGATCGACTCTGATAAGAGCCCAAGCGTGCTGTTTGGGTTGATGAAACAAAAGGCCATCTGAAATGTTATCAGAGGAACACCTGCCACGGAGCATGTTTTTACACAAACAGTGGTTTAAAAATACCCTTTCCCCAGCTGCCGAAGGACTGTGGTCTCGCCCCTGCCACGAAGAGCGGTTTGAGATCAATCAGATTCCCTCCTGTGGGAACCTGACCCGAGACACACAGGTTTGGGGGGCTAGGCCACGCTCAAGGTTAAGGGCCGGGGTGCAGGGCCGAGGGCTTGTCTCCCGCGGCTGCCCAAGCCTGGCTTCATTTCCTCTCCGTTTCTGTGAGGTCACACCAGGATTTTCCTCTCTCTCTTTTTTAAAAAATATACATTATTTCAGAGAAAGGAAGGGAGAGAGATAGAAACATCAATGATGAGAGTCACTGACCGGCTGCCTCCTGCCCGCCCCCTGCTGGGGATCCAGGCCACCCCCCGGGCCTGTGCCCCGACCGGGAATCGAACCGCGATCTCCTGGATTCTAGGTCGACGCTCAACCGCTGAGCCACACCTGCCGGGCACCTCTCTTTTTTATCTTTAATTTTTCTCTGCTTAGGCTCCTTGGAACTTGACTTTAGTGATTTGCATCCACAAGGACCTTGAGTTAAGCAACAATAAGAAGGCATCGGCTCATGACAGTGAGGAGGGGGGAAAAAGAATTTCCTTCTGGGGAAGTTTGCCAGCTCAGCCTCAACCGTCTAACAATTTCAATTCCAAGTTGAAGAAGTGAATTTGAACCAAGAGGGCAAGTGTTTGCTGTTTGAAGCTGCCAAGCCCATGGTACTTTGTCACGGCGGCCCTAGGACACTAATGCGCCCACACGCGCCGAACTGAGTCTCACCTCAGGGCCTTTGCACTTACCCCTGCCTCTGCCTAGGATGCCCTTCCCCGGGATTTCTGCATTGTTGGCTCTGTCAAGGTCACTTTTTCTTGTTGTTGTTGTTAACCGTCACACGAGGATATTTTTTCCATTGCTCTTCAGAGAGCGTAGAAGGGAGGGGGGAGAGAGAGAGGGACAGAGAGAGGCAGAGAGAAACATCGATGTGAGAGAGACACATCAATTGGTTGCCTCCTGCACGGTCCCCAACCACGGCTGGGGATTGAGCCTGCAACCCGAGGACGTTCCCTTGGCCGGAATCGAACCCAGGACCCTTCAGTCCACAGGCCGACGCTCTAACCACTGAGCCACGCCGGCCAGGTGAAGATCACTCTTCAATAGAGATCCTCCCGGTCACCCCAGCCCCCCTCCCTTTTTCCCCCTGTCACCTGCCTCCCCGTCTCCCTAATACTCATGGGGGTGGGAGCGCCCTTTCCATTCTTTCGTCTACTCCTGGGGCCTGGGTTTTTTTCCACCAACAGCCGCCCCTCCCTCCCCAGCCGCCGGTGCTGACTCTGCAAAAGCGAATGTGACGAATGAGTGAATGCGCGGCCCAAGGGGAGCTGACAGCTCTGCAGAGATGCCAGTCTCTCTGAGAGGCTCCCGCTGACTCACAGGTGGAGGCTGGGGAGCCCCTACTTTCCCGCTGCTTGTCAGGGTCTCCCCCTAAGAGCCAATGGGAGAACCGATAAGCCAAGCGCTCTGAGCACCCTGAGTGCAAGGCCTCCCCTGTCTCGCTGCCTGCGGTTCCTGCGGTTCTTTCTCTCCAGCTGAGGCTGGGAGCCTGAGCATTTACGTTTCTTATCTGTGTCCAAGTCACAGCCTCGGAGCAAGTCGCGTCTTGCTAAATAAACCAGGAGAGACAGGAGCTGGAAATGAAAGCATAACAGAAACCGGGACCCATCGCAAGCTCAAAGCAGGACATCTCCTTTCCACCCCAGAACCGGGAACCAAAACTATCCCATAGGAAGTTCTTTCTTCCCTCTTCTATGTAAAAACCCCAGCCCGTCCCGATTCCTTTTTTATTTTATGTTTTAAACTTTTATTAGTTTTTTTGGGGGGCTGACATTGGTTAATAAGATGATACAGGTCTCAGGGCCCCGATTCCTTTTTTAAATACACAAATAATAGTAGCAATATTCACCAAAGTAAACTCTTCTTGCGATCTTGTCTGTAGCCACTCTTCCAAATTAAATGTTTTGGGTAGGGTGTTTTTTTTTTTTTTCATTAACCCCCCGCCCTGCCCCATCCTGGCCCCAGCGCGTGTGGAATTTTGACTTAACCGTCTCAGCTAAATCCATGGTGTTCCTCACGTTACATGAGACGGTATTTTTTGTTTTTACTTTTTGGCAGGACACAGTTCACAACCCACAAAGGTCCCGTCTTGAGTAAGCAGCCCCGTTTCTGTGAACTGTCACCCAGACACATGCAACCCCAGACTCCGCGTCCCACATCCAAGTTTATTACGGGCACAGAAACACAAGCAAACGGACCGCAGGCCTCTCTCCCCGCGAACCGGGGAACCGGCATCTCCGTTTTAATGACAAAAGCAAACGGAGGTGGGAAGCCGCTCTCTCCCCTGAAGCCTCTTTCATGCTCAGCCTCCCAGTGAGTGTGAACAGGAGGGAGAGGGATTCATCGCCAGCGGATGCCATGGCCCCTCTCGTAGCACAACAGTCCCTCTCGGGGATAATCCGCTTCTTACCACCAGCGGGAACTTGGATATTAACCAAAGTCCATGAGTCTCTTTGTCCAGTCCGGTTCCGCTAAAATTTGGCTGAAAGACAGTTGGTCCCAGGGAACCCAGGAGACTAGGGCTCGTGAGATGCTCGCCGCCGGGGCTCCCTCCAGAGCAGCAGCTCCCCTCCAGCCGCTGGGCCCCCATTTCCTCAGCCGGAGCCCCCCGCGGGCCAGGTGTGGCCCCGGGAGCAGAGAGCCCGCCAGGTCTCAGGCAGGCGAAGGGAAGACGCCCGTGAACCGCACCCGGGTGCGGGCCCGGCCGGGGTCCCCGTGGCTCCCGCTCCCCTTGGCAGGAACGTGGGCGGTTCTGCCGTCTTCGGCCCCGAGTGCCCCAGCGGGAGCGGCGGGGTCCCCATGCCTAGAGGCTCCATCTCCGCTCCCCCGAGGTGTCCGCCTCCGCCGCCCGGCTCCCCTAAACCGGGT